AAAACCCAACCAAATTTAATTACAGATCTAACATTTTTACCCGGAACTTTGAAAGGCAAAAAGCAGTTGCCACACCACATCATAAAACATTCCAGTTTGTTCTGTTATCCTTTATAAAAACAATAAAAAGTAGAATGCAATTAATAATTAAAAAAAAAAAAAAAGCTCTGCACTTACAAGAGTCTTGCCTAATAAAGACAGGCTGCTCCGATCAAATGTACCATCGTAACTGTGCGATGAAAACATCGCCGCCTCGCTTTCCAAGCCTAGACCTAAGCTTCTCCCTTCACTTCTGGTCAAAATCCGAGTGGGCATTATAGGCCTATATATTTTCAGAGAGTGCCACAATGTCCAATATTCCTATCACGAATCTACTCACGATTACTAAATAGAGGTATGATAATCAAGTTCGTTAAACTCATGAATTTTGGTTTGTCATACACAACCTAATCCCCCCACCCCCAGTAAGAATGACGTGATGGGTTTTGGCAGTGACAGTGGGATGTCTGTTCAGGAGTATTACCCGGGACCTACAAATTTCGGATATGCTCTTGATTACAAATGGACAGATTCAATTTCAAGACAGTATAACTACCATTCCTGTTGGTATAGTGTATAAATACAAGCCACTAAATTGCGTAAACATTCTTGGGGAGCCGGAGAGGGAAGGCAGTGGTACACTCAACAGGAAACAGCAAGTGTGTGTGAACACAGTGGGGTCTGCGCCACGGTACTCGAGCTGGGTGACAGAGGAGGGTCAAGAAGGCAAGTTCCAAGACACCTAAAGCATATAGACTAGTTTAAAGGACTGTTTTGCAATCCATCATCCTTAGTTTTCAACCAAATTCAGGAAATGCAGTTTTCTCTAACGTGGAACTGAATTAAGCGCTATGACCATATGCCGTAATAAACCACGGGTAGTTTGGTTAAGCAGGATTGTTCACAACAGGCTACACGCACATGCAGAATACAGTGATAGTTGCAACCTCACAGATGAGGGCTGGAAAGTACAACGCTAAGGTGTAAATTTCCAAGTTGCTTTAGCTAAGCCTTGGGTGGATTTCAAAGGAACTCTTTAAAGGTTTCTTTAAAAAAAAAAAAAAAAAAAGTCTTTAAAGGTGAACTGATAGCATTTCTTCTAGACAGTCCAGGACTGGGCTACTTCTAAAGCAAGTTTGCCAACCTAAGACAACTGTAGTGACCGACTCTAGAAGCAGGCCAAGGGAAGCTGAAGAATTTCTAATCCTCAAACTTTTAGGTTCAGCTAAATCTGTAGATTGAGGGTCTCGATTATGTAGTTAAAATAACTTCTCAGTTCACCTTTTAGGAAATTCAGTTTTTCCTAATAAAAGTATGGCAGTATTTCATGAAAACCACAAATTATAAAAACAATTCATTTAGACACATAAAGTTGCCTTTGAGTTTGTAAAACAGAAGAGCGGTGTTAGAGAAAGTGGGCTACCGTACAATACATTTCATGAAACGGGTCATTCTGGCAAGAGTTTTGGTACCAATAACAAAACAGGAACATAACGAGCGTTAAAAGAAGTGTTTTTTTGTTCAGTAGCAATTCAGTCAGCAATAAAGTGCACAAATGATACCGGAAATGCTCCTTTGCGACTGGGATCTCCGTCAATGTGGCCAATCTGAAATGAACAAAAGTTCAGGTGGTTATAAAAATTCTAAATGTTGGAACCTTCGAAGGACATCATATAGCATTTGGAAAAAAAAAAAAGGGAAGATTTGTTCAGAAGAATTTCTTCTGAGAAAGAATTACTTGGGTCAGACATCTAAACTGTTTTTCCTCTTTTCTTTCACTCATGTTTCAAATATAGTTGACCCTTAACATGGGGTGGGGGGTGGTTAGAAGTGCCACAGCCATCCCCCTCCAAGCTGAAAATCCACCTATGACTTCTGACTCCCCCAAATCTTTGCTATTAGTAAACCTGTTGACCAGAAGCCTTCCAGATAACATACATGGTAAGTTAACACATATTTTCAATATGACAGGTGTCATATATACTGTGTTCTTACAATAAAGCTAGAGAGAAAAAATGTTAAGAAAATCATAAGGAGTAAAGAATACATTCAAGTGCTTGCTATACTGCATTTACATAGAAAAACTCCCCACGTAAGTGGACCCACGCAGTTCACACCCACGTTGTTCAAGGGTCAACTGCGGGGTATGCCGGCTGTGTAAGCAAGACTATTACGGGTGGGCCAGGTGTCGGCCCAGAAGCACAGTCCCCAGGGCCCTGGCGTTCTTGGGGGGCAGGCAGGACGGCTGACTACTGCCCCCGATTGCCTTTATGTTTTGTTTTAATGAAGAAACTGAGTGTCAGAAGCTTGTGAGTTACAAAGTCCCAGAAAGTGGCAAACGTGTGGTTGGTTCTATTCAAATGTAGTCAAGCATTTACCGAAGGCTGCGACAGATTCACTTATTTTCACTCTGGGTAAATTATAGAAGTTCTACACCAAGTAAGAACAAGGTAAATTATGGAGATAAGTAAAAGTCTAAAAGAAAATCGCCCTAATACAACTGATGAGACTTGGGTGAGAGTATGGGCAGCATTTCCTTCTTTACACCTTTCTGTATTTTCCACAGGTTCTGAAATGAACAGGTATTTTCCAGAGGGCTAAGCCTACTGTCCGGCGGGGGCCCCACCCTCGTGCCGGGTTGGACACGAGTGTGAAAGCGCTGGGGGCTGGGGGCAGTCGGGAGGGAGTCAGTTCAGGTCCCCACACTGCGGGCACAGGCCGGCCACACAGCAGCAGCTCAGGAACAGAGGCTTTGCGACACGGGCAAGCTGCCCAGCATCCCTGAGTCTGTGGAGCGCGGGGTCTGGTCTCTCAGGGTCGCCAGGCGAACCGCCACACTCCTGCTGTTCCTGCTCCCACCTGGATGTCACCACTCCTTTCAGGACCCAGACGGACACCCAGGGGCTCTGCCCCCACATCGGCTTCTTACACACCTCCCCCACAGACCCCCAGTGTGGGGGAGGATCGTACCGGCTTTAAACTCACGGCCTCATTTCAGGCCCTCAAGTGAACTCTGGGAACTGCAGCCCCAGTGCCCGCCCACCCTCACGTGGGAAAACCCACCGGGGGGGGGGGGGGGGGAACTGGGCCCGCTCAGAAGTGGGTGTACACGGGAGAGACGGGTGGGGGGCAGATGGGCCTGAGGGCTGAGGATGCACCGGCAGAGGGCCTCGCCTGCGAGCAGACCTCTCGTGCCAGGTGGGCCGGGACTCACCTCTGCCCTCCCAGCCACACCCCGGGCCCAGACCCCCGACTCACCCACCACTCTTGGTCCTCCTCCCCATCCACGATGATCACATCCCCCTCAGAGAACGTCAGCTCGTCTGGGTTGTCGGCCACACAGTTATAGAGAGCTTTGACCCGCTTGGGCTTTAACTTGGTCTGGATGGAGAAGCGGGAGAGGTCAGTGTGGCAGGAAGGCGTCAGCTCCTGGGGCGGAGGGTGGGGCTGCTTTGTTTCTAATTGGTCCCAGGGCTCCTGACCCAACAGGCCCGGGAGCCCCAGGGCTCCTGACCCAACAGGCCCGGGAGCCCACGGGTGTCAGGGCGGGAAGGTCCGTGTGGCTCAGGGGCAGGGGAACCTTCTACCAGGCTCGCAGGACAGGGAAGCAACCCCAGCTGAGTGCAGAAAACGGGGTGAGGCAGCCCGGTGCCCGTGCCGGAGGAGCCGAGCCCTGCGACTGCGGATCGGGGGTCGTGTCCCGTCCAGATTCAGGAAGAAGCCTCCCCTCCGCCCCGCCTGGGGAAGAGGGCAAGACTGGTTTCCTCGGAGACTCTCCCGCTCACTGCTGGCCAGAGCAAAGAGGCAGGAAAGGAGGGGCCCTTCCACTTACGGTCTGTGACTTCCTGGGCATGGGGGCTGGGGGTTGGAGGACTGCGCTGTTGGACAGAGGACCCAGAGCTTCTGTTCCAGAGAGATCCACTGCTTGAGGGCCAAAATGAATCAACTTCACAATATGCCCTCAGTGGTGACCAGCGAGTTACAAACAATATAAATGCCACAGCGTCATGTCTGAAAGGCAGCTTTCCTGAGATTTTCTCATCTACAGAGTGAAAAGTCCCCTAAAGGCCCAAGAACCATGTGACTTCCATCAGTCTCTGTAAAGCATGCAGCGCATGTGAGTGTCACAGAGCGGGACAGAGGCCGCCAGCTCCTCTGCAGATTTCTAGATCCCTGCTGGGGCCTCCCTGCCCTGCCCCCATCAGAAGGGGCCAGACACAGGACACAGCAGACAGCAGCCCTGTCTGTGAGAGGCAGGGTGGCTGCTGGGCCCGACACAGGGTTGAGCACGGCTGGAAATGCCTCCCACTTTGCCCCCACGGACCACGCAGCAGTGAACCCCATAAACGAAATCATTACCAGGTCCTCTCGGCTGGCCTTTGTTGCTCAGTGGGATCGACTTGTCAGCCCTAAAAGAAGGAGAAGGTAGATTTATTGACGTCTGAGGCCCCATAGCACATCAGCTGTCCCCACCCCACACCGCTTCATAAAGGAACCTTCTGTGTCGTCTCAGAACGAAGGTGAAGAAACATGGCACTGATTTTACACCTATTTTCAAGGAACTTAAAAGGTCTAACATGTGAAGGCCCCACTCATCTGACCCGTCTCGTCATTTGATTTCCGTCAATGTCAAGACAGAAATCACCATGCTGGGGGCGCCTGGGTGGCTCAGTCGGTTGAGTGTCTGACTCTTTGATTTTCGCTCAGATCATGATCCCAGGGTCGTGGGATCGAGCCCCGTGTCGGGTTCAGCGCTGAGTGTGGAGCCTGCTTGAGCTTCTCTCCGTCTCCCTCTGCCCCTCTCTCCCACTCGCACTCACTCTCTCTCTCAAAAAAAAAAAAAAAAAAAAAAAAAAAAAAAAAAAAAGAAATCATCATGCTGACCCCCTTTGCCTTTCATCACTCCCAACTACAAAATGCCTACGGGAAAGGCCTAAGCGTCTAAGACACCAGTCAGCAAACCTTCTTGCTAAAGGGCCTGACAGTTGAGGCTCTGTGGGTTATAAAGTCCATCAGGACTACCCAGTGCTGCCACCACAGCACGAGAGCAGCCACAGATGATGCACAAAGGAGTGTGGCTATGTGCCGAACGCTTTATTTATGGGCACCGGAATCTGAATTTTATAGAATCTTCATGTATCAGGGTGCCTGAGTGGCTCAGTCAGTTAAGCATCCAACCCGATTTTGGCTCAGGTCACGATCTCACGGTTGTGGGATCGAGCCCTGCATCAGGCTCTGGGCTGACAATGCAGAGCCTGCTTGGGGTTCTCTCTCTGCCCGTTTCCTGAGCTCTCTTTCTCTCAAACTTAAAAAAAGAAAATCTTCATGTATCATGAATAGACTTCTTTTGGTTGTTTTCAACCATTTGAAAAAAAAGAAAACCACCTTAGCTTGTGGGCCATACAAAAACAGGCACGGGGCTGATCAGGCGTGCAGGAGTACTTTGCCGACTGCTGCTCAAAGAGAGCAAAGGTAAAAACCCAGATTTGTACCTAGGATAAGACTGGGGGGTGGGTGCTTCCTTACGAAGAGGCCACAGCGGTGTATTCTTTTCAAAGAGAAGTCCCCCCGGGCAGTGATGACAGGCTTCCCTCCATCCAAAGGGGTCTTGGAGACACCCCAGCATCACCTGCTCTGCTCCCTCCCCACCTCTGCTTCTGGTCACACGAGATGAGAGAAAAGGATTCCATGGAGCAGGTAAAACCAGGTAAGGCTGCGCTAACATACCCAGCAACCCCAGCCCAGACTCTCCTGCGAACCAAGGAAGCAGGGAGGCCTCAGAGCCCCCAGAAAGACCGTGCCCAGGACCCTGCATTAGCGGCCAATACACCCCGTTCTCAGAACCGCCGGGTGATGGCTGGCAGCCGACTGGTGCTCATCTAGAAGTTCAACACAGGATTCGGCGTCTCAAAGAACAGCTCAGAAGGAGCAAGTATGCAGGAGCTACAGGGCAAGAGGGGGGCGAACAGAAGCGGGCACAGACCCTAATGCAGGAACTAAGAGAAGCTCGGCCTGTGGCCACTGAGGGTAGATGTGAGAGTGTATTCCCCACCGCATAACTCGGTAACTCATGAGACTGCATATGTGCTGCCTGGAACAGGAAGGCAAGGATGTTCACATTCTAGTTTAGAAAGAGATCTTACAAGGCAGCATTAAAGAAGTTCTGAGAGGCTTCTGGTTAAAAAAGTAGGTCTGAGGGGTGCCTGGGTGGCTCAGTCGGTTAAGCATCTGACTTCGGCTCAGGTCATGATCTCGAAGTTCCTGAGTTTGAGTTTGAGCACTGGACTCCACATTCTCACTCGCTCCTCTCTCTCTGCCCCTCCCCTGCTCATGCTTTCTCTCTCAAAATAAATAAACTTAAAAAAAAAAAAAAGACTGAAATACATTTACTTCCACTTTCTCTCAAGGAAAACAATTAGAAAAAACTTGAGGGGTGCCTGGGAGGCTCAGTTGGTTGGGCGTCCGACTTCGGCTCAGGTCATGATCTCACAGTCTGTGAGTTCGAGCCCCACGTCGGGCTCTGTGCTGACAGCTCAGAGCCTGGAACCTGTTTCGGATTCTGTGTCTCCCTCTCTCTCTGCTCCTCCCCTGCTCATGCTCTGTCTCTCTCTGTCTCAAAAAGAAATAAAAACATTTTAAAAAATTTAAAAAAAATAAAGAAAAAACTTGAACCAGGGGCGCTTGGGTGGCTCAGTCGGTCAAGCGTCTGACTCTTGATCTCAGCTCAGGTTGTGACCGCAGTTTGTGAGATCAAGCCCTGAGTTGGGCTCCAAACTGAGCATGGAGCCTGCTTAAGAGTCTCTCTCTCCCTCTCTGAGAAAGAAAAAAGAGACAAAAAAAGAAAAGAAAAGAAAAGAAGAGTAAAGAGAAAGAGCAAGAGAAAGAAAGAAAGAAAGAAAGAAAGAAAGAAAGAAAGAAAGAAAGAAAGGGAACAAGCTTAAACCAACAAGACAAAGAGAACTGAAGAGGAAACATTTTGGAAGTGGCCACAGGAGGGAAGCATCCTAACCACGCCAGCTCATCTGAGGAGGGAGAACACTCACGCAGTAAGGAAGCCCTGAAGGACCCCCATCTGTGCACAAGCCCCCAAGGCTTATCAGCCCGTGGGAGGGGGCATAAGGCATGGCAATAAACACAAGGACTGGCTCAAAATCTGCTCAAGGAGCTACTGAATCCCCGGATTCCCAGACCAACCCTGAGCAACTACCCTACCTCAACCCACTGAAGACCAGAAGCTTCTATTCTCAGAGCGGGGAGAATAGAGGGTATCTGAACTTGGGGGTACCAGTGTGATTGTTGGGAGCATCTTTACAAAAAGGGGGACTAAGTAAAAACTTAACTGCTGAGTGAGACCCTCCACAGCGAAGTCCACACTGGACTCTGCACATGAGGGTGCAGTTTGCAATCAGGTTTCTTCAAATGTTTATTTTGAGAGAGAGAGAGCGAGAGAGAGCGAGCGCATGCATGCACGTGAGTGGGGGAGGGGCATAAAGAGAGAGAGAGAGAGAGAGAGAGAGAGAGAGAGAGAGAGAGAATCCCAAGCAGGCTCTGAATGAACTGTCAGTGCAGAGCCTGATGTGGGACTTGATCCCACAAACCATGAGATCATGACCTGAGATGAAATCAAGAGTCCATAGGCTTAACCGACGGAGCCACCCAGGGAGCCCTGCAGTTGGTTTTAATGCCTCAGCTGCAGTGGCAACTTTTGGGCAGAAAACACCAGATCTATGAGGAAAAGCCTCTAACATAACGGAAACGAAAACAAAGACAATGGACACGGAAGAAACAAACTATGCAGAAAAGCAAAAGCTAAACTAAACAACTCCCCCTCCATCCCTATAACCATCATTAATAATCTGAGACGAGAGAAAATGATTTCATGAAACAAAAAAGATACTATTAACTTGAAAATTATATGACAGCCGAAACAAAAAAATTCAATGAAAGAACTGGAAGATGACATGAAGGAAATCTCCCAGAAGGCAGACTTAAAAAGCAAGCAAGCAATGCAGAAATGGAAGCGACAGGTGGCAGAGAGTGGTCCCTCCACGGAGCAGAGCTGCACTTCCAGCCCCGGCCTCCAGGTGGAGCCATGGGACTGGCTCTGGTCAAAGGCACCCTTCTCCAGTCTCCTCCTCAGGAAATAACCCTAGGAACAGGGTTCAGAAGTAGAAAGGGTCTGGGTCTCTGACTCACCCCTTGGGGCTGCTGCACAAGCAAGAATACAGGCGCTCAATTTTGTGTAAGAAGTCAACTTCCAGCTGTTAAACCACGGAGATTCAGGGGCAGGCTGATAGAGCTATCAGCTTACCCGAATGAAAAAGAAAAGACGATACATGTAGAGGAAAAGCCAACGGAGTCTGACATCTGAGTAACACGAATTATATTACAAGCAAGAACAGAGGGGCACCTGGGTGGTTTGGTCAGTTAAGTGTCCGACTTCAGCTCAGGTCATGGTCTCACGGTTCGTGAGTCTGAGCCCTGCGTCGGGCTCTCTGCTGTCAGTACAGAGCCGGCTTCAGATCCTCTGTCCCTCTCTTTCTCTGCCTCTCCCCTGCTTGTGTTCTCTCCCTCTCTCTCAAAAGTAAACATAAATAAAAATAAATAAATAAATAAACAAAAGAACAGAGAAAACAGAAATTAAGACAGTAAAAAAAAAAAAAAATCAATGAAATTTCTCAGAACTGAAGGAGGTAGTTTATATCCTGAAAGGCTCCATCATCTACCTGGTGGCAGGGACGAAAAAAGGCCCATCCTGGGGAGTCGGAGCCTCGGCAGGGACAGGAGGCCTGAGGGGGTGCGCCTGAGTGGGACGGAGGAGGGTGCTTGGCGGGGCAGTGAGAGCCCCAGCAGGGCGAAGAGGGTCTCCATGTGGGGCCCCAGATCTCAGCAGGGAGAGGAGGAGGTGGGGGCAGAGATGGGAGACTGGCTTCATGGGGGTATTGATCGTCAACGTAGAAGCCAGATTTCTCATCACCAGAAAAGGGAGTAAGGAGCCCAGCAAAGGAGATGAGAATAGACCCTGTGGTGCTTGAGAACACTGTTCCCAAACCCTCTCCTGAGAGCTGGAGTCTACACCGCCCTGTGCTACCGTTCCCACGCCAACCCTGAGTCTGGGATCTGCCACTGTTTGACCAGTGATACATGACAGAAGTGACAACCTGCCATTTTCCAGGGCTGGGCCTGTCTCTTGGGACTTGTTCTCGGGCCCAGTCACCATGATTCGAGGAAGCCCTCGCCACATGCAGAGGCCACATACGTGCAAGCTTTCTAGCCAACGGCCCCAGCTGATAGCCAGCATCAACCACCAGATGTGTGGGCTGGAGAGATGACACGAGCCTCAGCCTGTGAGTCACTTTCTGTGTTGGACCATCCCTGGCCTTGAGTCTTCCAGCTAAGGCTTCAGATATTGTGGTGGAGACAAGATAAGCTAACTTCACGATGCTGATCCAAATTCCTGACAGAGTCTGGTAGCAGAATACAATGGTTGTGTCCCATGTCAGTAAGTCTTGGTGTGGTTTGTTACTACAACTGAAAAGGGAGATAGTGTGAACTCATGGATTTTGACACAGAAGTAGAAATATAGAGATAAATGTGTTTATAAATACAGATATGCACAGATATACACCTATGTATGTACATGTGTGTGTCCCCAGTTCTGACCACTCAGAGGGCCTGCCTGGGAGCAAGGATACCCCAAGAGCAATGAGCACACACAGTATTCGGACCTTGGCTTCTAAGTATCACTGCCGCTTAAAGAAAACCATCTTTCACTATAAGGATCCAGCTGGAAACCATGAACTGGATCCCTTTGTGGAAAAGGACAAACCTTTGGGTAAGTGGCAAACCTTGTATGGGTTTTAAGAACTGGAAGGTACTAATGTGTCTATGTTAACTTTCTCTCTTTTTTAAAGATTTTATTTTTAAGTAATCTCTACACCCAACATGGGGCTCGAACTCACAACCCCGAGATCAAGAGTCGCACGCTCTACTGTCTGAGCCAACCAGGTGCCCCACTATGTTAGCTTTCTGATCGTGCTGGTTGTATTGTGCTTATGCAGGAGAACATCCTCGTCTGTAGGAAATATATGCCCACATCGTGGAGGATGCATACGAGTAAGATAACCTTGCGAGCAACAAACTGAAGCTACAGGCCCAGCGTCCTGAGGACCTTCATTCCCCCAAATCCAGTGCCTGTGCTACACAGAAACCTACACTAGTCATGTGGATAGAAGACATACGTTTGTATGAAAATTTTTAGCTTAATAATGTTGATAAATTATTTTTAAGACGCTTAAGCCTGATGAATTCATCAGGTGACACCGGTATTCAAACGTTAAGAGTAGAAGCACTGGAAATTTCAAGTGTCTGCACGGAAATTTCAGATGAAGGATTGGGGCCGCTGCCGCTTGGAAGCTCCTTGAACGCAAGAAGCCAGGATGGCAGTTTGGCCAGGCCCTGCGGGCCACATGAAGACAGGCGGTTACCCGGGAGCAGGCCTCTTCTGCGGGAGGCGGCTGGGCGGCTGGGGTGGCAGGGGCGGGGGCGGGGCTTTGCTCAGCGGGATCCCAGGCTGGGCAGACTTGCTCGGCTGGCCCAAGGCTTCGATCACACTGGGCGTTTTTGCTACCGGAGGGGGCGGCGTGGGAGCCAGGGGATCTGTGGAAAGAAAAGGAGAGCCACACAGATTGTCAGACTTCCTCACGTCCCCAGCCTTCTCACCCGAGGCTCCTCTGATAAGGGCTTCCTTTTTTCTATGGTGATTTCATAAGAACAAAAACCTCTCTTCATTGCAGGTTTTTATTAAGCAGTATTGGCAGGGAGTCCTTCCGAGCCTCAAGTCAGGGTTAAAAATGCCTCTATGAGCCTGTACCTTCCCCGTTGGAAGTCCCTGTGGGGGTGCCACCACAGTTCTGTGCTGTCCACCCTGAGACCTGGAGAGACAGCAGGGGGGAGGCTCAAGTCTGGGGCTGGGCCTTCCTGGGCCAATCCTCTTTCTGCCTCAGCTGCCCCTGTGGGCCCTACACATTTCACCAGGCTTCCAGCAGGTCACTGTGAGACCGCCCTAAAGTGCTCACTCTGCGAAGACTCCACAATCTGTGCGGAGGGCAGGGCAAAGACTTGGGAGGCTGAGGATCAGAGAAGTGACGTGCTTTCCCCTAAGGTCAGAAAGTTGGTGAGACGGGCAGTTGGGCCTCGAGCCCTTGGCTCCTCTCCCCGCTTTCCCCTCTCGGACAAACATTAGTGCTGTCCCCGAATATCCAGGGTCCTCGCTAAGGCAGTTAACTGTCCTCAGGACAGGACGGGGACACCCAAGGAGCCTTCCAGTGCCGCCAGTGCACGTGCACATGGCACTTGACTGCAGCCGGGGCTCGGTTTCTCCTGCCTCAGCTTAAAAGCTGCAGGGGAAAACCCGGGGGAAGTCCGTGCTCTCTGTGTGGGCCCCGAGGTGCCAGGACCCCTCCCCCTGCCAGCCCAGCAGAGCAGGGGCGAGACAGGCTCAGGGCCTGCATCCAGGGCTTGCCCCACTGCTCCAGGAAAGATGTTCCTCTTCTCCCGCCCCCTCCCCTAGGTCCTGGGACTTCCACCGACACGTCGGTATTGAAGGAAAACACATGCCAGATTGCGTCCAAATGACTGTGCCCAAATACTGAGGACCGCCAAGTGGCCAAAGGAAACGAAGCCCCGGGCTCATGTGCGACAGGAGGAAACGCTGCTGAAATGCTCGGGAAGACAGAGGAGGAGAGTGTGTGAGCACCCCCCCCCCCCCCCCCCCCCCCCCCGGCAATGGGGTGCGGGACAGACAGGAGCCTGCAGCTGGGGAGGGCGGCCGGAGGGGCCAGGGCTGGGAACGGCAGTGGCTTGCGGGCGTGCGGCGTCGCAGCTGTCCCCTCGCGGCTGCCGAAAGCACCCCCCAGCCATCCAGATCGCAAAGCCCACTGGCAAGAAAGGAAAAAGGAAAAAACGTACTGGTAGATGTCACGCGAAGAGGGGGCAGCGGTGGATGGACAGCTGGCGGATCTGACGAAGATCGCTGCCTGCCTACACCGTCCACACTTACAGAGTTTGTCTTCCACAGGGCGTTAGCGGAGGAGGCTGGCTGAACTGCACACGCACGCACATGCACACGCACGCACATGCACACGCAGGCATGCACACATACACACGAATGCACGCACAGGCACAGAACAAAAACAGAAACAGAACACTGCATTATTGATCCTCTCTCTCAGAAAAACGATAAATATGACCCTTCTAGAATAGCATTAAGACCACAAATAGAATGTTGATTTTTTTTTTTTTTTTTAATTTTTGTCTCTGGTATCTGGAGGATGGACACTGCTACACACAGTGGTGCTTCTGGGAAAATTATCAGCTGGTTTTCACAATCTTACAGATTTTCTTTCTCCAATACGAATACCATTTGAGGAGGGAAATGAGTAACCACAATGACATATGTCCTGAGCATTGCACTCCAGCCTGTAGAACATCTGCTGGCCTCTACCCATCCATCAAGTCCTCCCCTGGGTGCACGCACAGGGGAGCACCTGTCCTCGGACCGCATGGAGAGAAGGGTACAAATTAGAGACAGGTGAGGGCTCCCCACCTCCTGCAAACATTTCTGGCTAGAAGTCAGGTGACACCAAGGAGGCTCGGCTGACATACCAGGGAGACGGCACCTGCCCAGGTCACAGTCCCTCCTCTGCCCCACAGAGCTCTGCACACGGGGGGGGGGGGGGGGGGGCTGTGTCTGAGGCTGTGCATGGCCCACAAAGTGGGGGCCCCGGGCTTGGGGTAGAAAACAGGCACCCCCATGCAGGGCATTTCTGCGGTGGACAATGTCTGTCCCCGGGTGGGGCACTCAACGGTGGCTCCCTTTTCCGTCTGTCATGTGGGCACCAGGGGGTACTAGACTGAGAACCAGGGGACCCTTTGGGGGGTTATAGGGATGAAGTGCAAGTACACCATCAAAGGAGAACATGAAGCTAACCACAGGAATAGCCAGAAAAATAAACTATGAAGAACCCCAAACCCTCTAAGACTTTAGGAGAGCAAAAAATAAAGATGAACAGTTTTTTATTCCTTTTGCATGACCAACAGAGCAAAATAAAGTCTTTCCTCCAATGACACACAAAGTCAGTAAAAGCCACTAATGGGGTGGAGGGGACCAAATCATTGCAGCTGCAGCCTTGCACAGTGAATACATGTACACAGGGCGTGGGAGGAGGCTGGGCAGACAGGGGGCCCCACAAGGACCCGACCATGGCGAGTTGCCCTGGGCCCCTCCCGGCCAGTGCAAGAAGCCTGACCTTGCGGCCTCTCTCCTGCTCAGGAATTGCCCCAACAAGTCCAGGGGTGTGGGCACGAGGGGGGCACAGGCTCTGTGGGGGAGGGCAAGTGGGCGGCTTCTGAGGCCTGCCTGGGCAGCACCCGCTCTCCTCTCGGGGGTCTGCTCCAGTGACCTAGACGACAGGCCCCTCAGCCTTCTCTGGGCCTCCCTGAGAGCTGGGGACAGGGCCGTGGCGGGGGTGGCCTCGACCCAGGTGCTGGCAGCTGCCATCCTCGCTCCCCTGCCAGGGCTACAACCCTCACTCACGCCCCCTCCCGGAGAGCAGCTGTTGCACAAATGCCACGTGGACCGGCAGCAGCCTCCAGCGGGGCGGGGACATCACACCCTCCTTCTCGTGGGAAGCCCTCCGGAGGCCACCGGCCGCGTCGGGCAGCCCCAGCCCACAGCTATGCCGGCCGCTTGCTGGACCGGCCTTCAAGGAGCAGAATGGCCAGCTGGCCGTCAGTTCTGGGAAAATTACCTAACTTTTGGGGGCCTCAGTTTCCTTTTTTTTTTTAATGTTTTAAAATCTTTTTATTTTCTAAAATTTTTATTTATTTTTATTTTACTTTTTTGAGTTCCATCCAAGTTAGTTACCATACAGTGCAACAATGATTTCACGAGTAGATTCCTTATGCCCCTTACTTGTTAAAAATAAGGAACGCTTCATGACTTTGCGTGTTATCCTGGCACAGGGGCCGTGCTAATCTTCTCCGTATCATTCCAATTTTAGTGTGTGTGCTGCCGAAGCGAGCACCTCAGTTTCCATTTTAATAAAAATAAAAACCAGCGTCTGGGAAGTCCAACTCATTGTGTTGTGACAGAACAACTAACGGCAAGCTCTGGCACTTAAGTCACCGGCAGGACCCACGGGGATCGTTTTGTATTTCTACAATCAGGTTGCGCACCGTTCCCCAAATCAGCGTCTTTGTATCCTTCATTTCGTGGGGCTGGCAGAGATAGAAGGTACCAGGCGTCACAAGCTGGCTGAAGGCAGGCGGGGCGGGGGGGGAGTGGAGGGATGATGACACAGGACAGAACTAAGGCAGAGGGAGGGGTGCTGAGCGGTAAAAGCAGACAGAAAAGAACAGAAAGGAGGTCTGCGGGAAGGTCTCACAGGACCAGCGTCACGAGCCGAGCCACCCGCCTCAGGCTGCCCTGGTGGAGTCCGTGCGCTCCCCCCAGTGACACAGATGCCACACCTCTGCCCAGAACAAGGACAGAGTCAGAGGCTCCACCACCATCCGGCATCCTAAGACCGGAAAGCTCCTTGAGGATGTCAACACCATGACCGTAGGACACAAAACCCCACATGTCATCGAGCAGGGGGCAAAGCAACTAGAAACTTCCCAAAGCGAAAACCAAACAACACCCTTTGTGCGCCGGCGGGAGCTACGACGGTTCAGTACCTTTGGCAACGTTCCGCGGGGGCAGTGGGGGGGCGCTGGCCGTGCTGGGGGCCGCAGGCTGGGAGGGCGGCGGGCTGCCACTGAGGATGGCTCCGTACGTCTCGTTCTGCAAGATGCTGGGCACAAAGCCCCTCTGCTTGTCCTTGGCCAGGCTGGCGGCATCTCTGGCCAAAGACGCGGCATTCGACTGCAGCTGGTTGGACCCCAGCTGGTAGAAGCTGACGGGCCGGTCTTCTCGCCGACTGGGACTGGGCTGCAGAGGGTGAAATGCACACACGCTGACCTCCTGGTCACAGTGTCCAGGCTACTTGTGCACACCACTGCTACTTGGGCCCGGTGCCTTTTTGGCTCTCAGCCATTACGTGAGAGCTGCAAGGCTTAAAAGTTACTCTCACCGTGTCTCTTAACAGACACACACACACAGCCATGATTTATAATTTACACATCTCCATTCTGTGAAGGATTTAAAACACGGGCGACTTCATCCTTATTAGCCAGAGCTAATTTAAGCTAGATCTGCATTTTCATTGCATTTCCCCTTCGTACACATGCTTTCCATTGAGGACCCAGCTACACTCAATCCCCAACAGCTACGTGGCAAATTCGGGGGAGGTCAATGTTTCTTCCAGTATGAATGCACCTCTTGAGATTCCTCTAACTCAGGCAGGGTCAGCAGACCACGGCCTGGGGGCCACCACCTGCTTTATAAATAAAGTTTATTAGAACACAGCCATGCCTAGTCATTTACAAATTGCAGTTGCCTTCAAGCCACCCTGCCAGAGCTGAGTAGGCGCAGAAAAGATGGTGACAGTTCAGGCCCAAAAGCCTGAATATTTACCACCCGGCCCTTTTGGTTTGCTAACCCTGGCTCCGTCTGAAGGTCATATGCACGGAATCACGACTCGGGTGACTCATTTCTAATGCATTTTAAACGTCAGCTTCAATGTAACAGCTGTGATCTTCAGCAACTATCTTAACCTGGCTGACCCTGTTTCTCCTCTGTTCAATGGGTAGAACTTTGCTTCTCTAGCACAGTGCCAGCTTAGCAGTTAAACTGTTGGCCGATATACCCCACTTCCCCTCACGGTACCACCTGCCCAGTCAAGGCTCTGGCCAACCCAATGGCTCACATTCAGCTCAGCTATGCAGAACTCAATGGCTAGCGGTCTTCACGCATATTTTGAATTCAACAAAGCCCATGGCTATATGAACTATACCCACCTCTGCTGGAAACAGGGAGTGGGTAGATGAGCGTTAGCACTTGCTGTCAGACTTCTGTTTGGACCATGGGACCTGCTGTGTCCTGCTCACGCAAGAATGGGATGCATGTGCTCACTCTGGGGCCGATGCGTCCAATCTTTTTTTAAGGTAGGTAAGTGTAACATTAGTCAGCTCTCCTCACTTTGATACTGTTTTATACCTAACTCAGTGGAGAAGTTTCTTATTTGAAGACATAGCAAGCAGGTATGTTAACGGCTCCATGAACGAGGACAGTCAAGGAAATTTCAGAAATGCCGTATATACATGTAATCAGATAGGCTCAACGCACATCAGAATATTCAACAGGAAATTTTACGTGGAGGGCACCTGGGTGGCTCAGTCGGTTAAGTGTCCGACGTTAGCTCAGGTCATGATCTCAGGTTTGTGAGTTTGAGCCTTGCATCGGACGGGCTCTCTGGGGTGAGTACAGAGCCTGCTTCAGATCCTCTGTCCCTCCCCTCTCTGTCCCTCCCCCACTTGTGTGCTCGCTGTCTCTAAAAATAAAGAAAACATTTTTTTTTAAGAAAAGGAAAGTTTACATGGCATTTTCCACTGATTTCACAGCAGCTAGGAGTACGGGCTCTGGAGTCCGCCTGCTGGAGTCTGACTCAGCTCTGAGGCCTGTGTGAAGGTGGTAACCTGCCAGGAGCCCTCCAAGTGTGCAAGACAGCGTGCCATGAGCAGGGGGCTGGACTCAGAGGCAAGTGCCCTCAGTCTGGCCCCAAGCTGGTCTCTAAATACTAAGCTTCACTGTGGCCGAGTCAGCTTCTCTTGACTCTCGAAGCTTCCATGACCCCATCGAATAGAAGAAAAAGTTGGACCCACAGTTCTAAAGGCCATTTAATGATTCTAGTTAAGGTTTTAACGGCTGATGAGTGGACGTGACCCGCGACACTGGGGGCCCCTGGCTCTTTATCACATGCACGGTGCAAGGACTTCCTCTAAAACCCACTAGGCTCCACGCCCCCCCCCCCATTTCTTTCCCTCAGATCAAACGGTGGGCAGCTAATGACGATGACACAAGGAATGTTCCCTTGTTCCTAAGAGCTGGGAGACAGGTGGCAGCTGTGGGAAGGGTGAAACCAAAAACCTACTGAGATCAATGGAGGCAAAAAGCGAACTCCACTTCTTCTACAAAACCGGTCTGGGCGCAGATTAGAAGCCAGGATCCACCCCACTCGGAACAAAGCTCATGACGACACCCCTGGCATCCCTCGGCCAGGCACTAACCTGCAGTTTCTCGTCCACATCGTCATCGCTCTCATCCAGGTCTTCATGGAGCAGCCGCCACTCGTACTCGACGTGGACGTGGGAATTGAACCTCCCAGACAAGGCCTGGGTCAGCTGAGAGGACAAAGGGCCGTCAGTGACACTGCACACGAGGTGAGCAGCCCTGGGTGGCATGGGGTGGGGGAAGCAGAGACCCCAGGGTGAGGCCGGCTGAAACTCCCCTCCCTATTTCACAGAGGACCTTGAAACGCAAACCTCATAACTGCCCTTTCGTGTTCTGTAAACAGTACAGGGCGGTGGGCAGGCAAGGGCTATTCGAGGTCTCAAGGACGGCCTGTAGGTGCTGACAACCACACACAGGAGCAAACTCAACAGAGAATGGACGTTTCCACTGTTAACCCAACCATCTGGACCAGCACTAAAGATGATGCCCCAAAGAAAAGGATGTGAATGACTATTTTCACAATACTCTCGGGGAACAGATAGCTAGTTCCATTTTAGATACACGGGAGAGAAGCAAATCCCTTTCTTAGCACGTTAGCCCTTAATTTCCTCCAGAGCCAGAGAGTAGCTGTGTGACCTTGGGCAAGTTACTTAACCCTTCTGTGTCTGTTTCCTCACCTGTAAAACAGGGATAACAGAAGAAACCGTGTCATGGGTGGCTATCAAGATTGAACGAGTTAGGGGATATCAACTACTCAGAACAGCACCTGGAACTACTCATCCCACACTTCCGCAACATTTACAACGAATAGCTCTCTTTATCGAGCACTGGTTGAGCTTCTGAGCGCAACACTAATTCCCACAACAACCTTGTGAACTCGTAGAGCGGACTCCACTTTACAAACAAGGAAACAGCGAGAGAGTTGGCGTTGGTGCGGCCTTCCCGAGTCATGGTGGTGGAGCCCTACCGCCTGAGCCCATGGGCTCTGCCCCCTAGCTGCACTGTCACTGCCTGATCTAGAACAGGACAGGAAACGATGGTGCAGAACCATCTGGAAGATTCGGGGTTGGGGAACAGAGTAAGAACACCAGCTTTGGATGCTGCTGTGAAGGGACGAGCTGGTGGCTTCCCGACTCCAGGGATGAGCCAAAGCCATGGTGGCCCCCGGATCTCTGTTCCTGTTGCCCCAGATTAATGCTAGGACCACCATCAACATGTCCAACCAGCAAACGCCCACTGGTGTTCTAAGTGTCATTACGAGGGGGTGGCCACCTCCTCTTGAAAGACCCCCCAGTGTGCCTTCTCCTGGCTATCCCCTCTAGGGTCCACACTTTGCAGAGGGCAGGGCCCCTTCCTGGCCCAGGAAGGGCCCCCTGGCCACGTCCACACCGGGTGGAGACTCACCAGCTCCTCACAGTGCTCGTGCCGGAGGCGTCTGGCGATGTCCAGTGGCGTCTCCCCTGACTCGTTAGCTAAAAGGCAGGGCAACAAAGGGTGGCATTATGACAAAAACAAGCAAAGGCCGGATTATCAGGAGGCAGTTAAAAGAGGTACAGAGAAGCAGCACTCAATCGAAGTGAGCACGATTAACGAATCCCACGGTGAGTCTGGAGCAGGGGCGGAACTGGTCTCGTAACCGTACAGACCTGTGGCGGAACACGGTCGGGAGACGTCAGGAGACCGTTTAAGTTGGCCATGGGCACAGAACGGCACTCCTCAGCGGTCTGCAAATCCGAAACCGTGCATTTTCTTCTAAATAAGCCTCTGCCAACAAGGTTTGATTAATAAGCAGCAAGCCAACCAGAGACACCTGGGAGGCTCAGTTAAGCATCCGACTCTAAATTTCAGCTCAGGTTATGATCTCACGGTTGTGGGATACAGCCCCGTGTCAGTTGAGTCAGGCTCAATGCTGGGCAAGGAACCTGCTTCAAACTCTCTCTCTCTCCTTCTACCTACCCCCCCCCAAAAGGTAGAAAAAAAAAAAAGAAACTTGACTCAAGAAGGTGTGTGCCTTCTTTGTGTTCTCTTTGCTCTCTGTTCCACAGTTCTTCCAAATCACTTCCTCCCAACACAGTCACCACCGCCTGCCCTCGGATGGCTGCCAGCGTGTCAGGGTCCCACGCGGGAGGGAGAAATGAAGGCCCAACAGATCAGGGTCCCTCGTGGAGGAGACTTGGTGCCACGAGTGGCAGTAAACAGTGTCTCTTCACTGCCCCGTAAGTAAATTTTCCACGCCGGGGACAGGAAGAGACTAAGCCTGATGCTGGGTGGGGGTTCTGAACAGGAGGGCAAGAGGCCCCAGAGCTTGTTCAAATTCACGTCCGCGTGAGTGTCGTCTGTGGGGCCTGAGCTCTGCTTCTCATATCCTATAAAATACCTGCCGAAGGTGGGAGGTCTATGTATCAGAGGGAGGGCGACTGCTGACAAATACGGGACACGGCAGCCATGCGGGGCACGCGGGGAGAGGCCCCCCCACCTTTGGAGGGCAGGGCCCGCGCACGGGGCCAGGCCGGCGCCACCCGCTCACCCGTCTCGATGGAGGCCTTCCCCCGCAGGAGCAGCTTCAGGCACTCGGCGTTGTCCGTCAGGCAGCAATAGTGCAGGGCGGTGCTGCCCTTCCCCGTCTGCTTATCCAGGTTCCCACTGGCCAAGAACGGGGACAGAAGAGAAAGAACAATGAGGGGAAGGCCAGGGGGTCGGGCAGGTGAGCAGGGGAAGCATCAAGCAACACCACAGGGAAGGGGATTTCTCCGAATCCCCCTCCGCGGTGGGGGCACAGGGCAGCATCCCCGCTCGTGGGGGTGAGGCAGCCGTGGCGGAAGGCCACCAGGGAGCCAGCAACAATGGCGGAGAAGGCCAGAAAGGGAGAGAGGCACCCCAAGAGGCACCGTGCTCCCCAGATGTGGGACAAGCCACTCAACCCCCTGGTGGGCGAAGCCCTGAAACGTGGCTGTCATCGTGAGGAGGAGGGACAGTGGGGCTTTGTGGCCCCGGGAAGGACAGATGGGGACAGTCACCAGGAGGAGACATCCACTGCTCTCCTCAGGACAGAACCTGCTACACTGTGAAAATAAGCTTCATCTTCTGACCTCTCCCCTCTTCCTGCTGCCCCCCTTCCATTCTGGAAGAAAGGAAACCAGGATTTCCCTTCTCACGCTCCAAGAATCTGCACTGGGAGAGGATGACGTCACTGAGCTGTTTTCATCCAGGGTCCGCGGAGCCGCTGTCGCGCGCTAGGCGCTGGGTGGGCGTTCGGGCTCCATCAGCGGGCGGCTTCCGCTGAGTCCAGCAAACTGCTGACCGGCCCCCAGCCGCTCTGCCTCTGGCTACTTCTTCACTCTCTCCCCCAGCAACAGCAGGGAAAGGCGGAAATGCTGAATATGACCTTGCCATTGCACTGTGGAATTTTCCACTCCGTGTGGAGCCGTGTCAGCGGCCTGTGACCAGCATCTCCCGCAACACACGCCCCAAACCACGATCAGGGAGTCAAGATACACCTTAATGGGTGTTTGTGGCTGGCTGGCTGCTGCCAGGCAGGTGATAAACCAGAGTAAGGTGGGACGCACCAAGCAGCAGGACTATGCAGTGCACACACATGTGCACGTGCGCGCGCACACACACACACACAGGTTCTTTAAAGGCTACTTCTAATGAAGATATAGAAACAACTTTTCAAACCAGACAAAATGCCCACAACCCGGTGTTGCAGTTTACAATCTCAGCTTAGGCGGGTGGCTCAGGTATGGATCCCTGTGTCCCTGTTACCTCTCCCCACTGCTCTAGGGTACCCCGCCTGGGTCCTGTGGGACACTCACAAGGGACGTGAGTGTGGGGATGGCCCTGTGCACACAGGCGGTTGTGGGGGCCACGGACAGCCTGCCTTCCAGAGCCCAGAATTCAGAGGTATCGATCTGAGATCTGCTGAGTCCCGGACGCCAGAAGCTGGATCTTGCAGATATCCCACGAAGGGTCTCTGTCTTCACGTCCTAGGGTCTCTCAGGACTGGCACCTGATGGCTCACTTCCTGTCCCACAGCCACATAATGAGGCAGGAACCTGATCCTTCCTCAGAAACACCAAGGAACAAAATCAAACGCCTCCCCTAAGTTTAGAACACCTACCTGTTCTGGACTAAAAAGTCTACGATGTGGAGAGAAGTCCGGTCCACCGATCTGACTGCAAGATGCAGGGCAGTTTCATCTGGCTCCTGAAGACCAAAGAGAAACATTCCAGAATTCCAAGGGGAGCGTTCAGTTTTGTGTTCAATGTGAGCAAAATTGTGTCTCTCTCTTCCAAAAGCCTTTTATTCTTTCTTTCAAAATGCTTCTAAGACATATGGTGTCTCTCTAGTCTCCAGAGCAAACTCTGCTCTTGGGACCATTTCGAGACTGGTCTTCCTTTCTCCACAGAAAATAATGAGAAATTCAGGGAGTTCACCTCAAAGTCCCCTCAATCTTGATATTCCTATCTCTGCACTAACATGAGGTGTTGCCTATAAGGTGCGTGTGGGGGTCTTCGTCCAAAGACCCTAGGAAGTTTCCCCAGGCCTCTTATACCCAATCTTTTATACCTGCTGCCTGAATAAACATAAATTCTTATTTTAAAAATAGCATTAGAGTTTTTCATTCTGTATTTACGGACAAGGCCAGGAGTGCTAATGCCCAGACTGTCTTCAATTTATACCAGGGGACACATGACCTCCACTGCCTTTTCTGAAAGAGTTCTGGCAGGTGGGGGAGGACCGACCAGAGGAAGATGGTCTCAGGTGGGAGGGTGGGCGAGAGGGCTGGAGGCAAAGGCAATATCCATGGAACAGGGAACATGGGACAAAGAGGGAGGTGGCCCTCAATCCGCCTGCCGGGCCTGCTCAGCCAGCCAGGGCCACTCCCCTGTCCTCTGGCTGGGGCAGGGCTCTGAGCTGGGCATGCTCTGAACCACCTGGGCTTGACTTCTCTCTGTCTCTCTCTCAAACATTGGATATCGGGCTCCATAGAACATGTGCTCGGCTGCTAAGGGGTAACGCCTGGCATCCCGCACCTTCATTATGAGGACAAGGAGGTTTCAAGGGAATGTGAGCGTGTGTCTACAAGGTCACCCGTGGAAGAGAATTAGGACACATGCCGAGCTGTGACACTGGTAGCCGGTTTCCTATGGGATCGATCCTGCCATGCTCGATCCCATGTTACCCTGAGACCCCACCCTCTCCACAAGGCTCTCCCAGGAAAGTGGGGGGAATCCCTCCTACTCCGGCTTCCTCGGAGAGGAGGGCACAGGTGGGGAGCAGGCTGGGGAGCTCTCCTTCCCAGGGAAGCCTCAGGAGCTGCTCCTCAAAGTCTGGCTGTCAGCTGCCCTGCACCCAGGAGACGGGACCCTCTGGCCTCTGAGAAGATGCTCCCTCCCCCAGGGGATGGGCTTTCCTTCCAAGGCTGGCATCATATTTTTGGTTGAAGAAGAATAAACCATGAATTTCTCCCCAGAACACAACGTTGTCTTCCTTCAGAGAATTATACTACTTTCTCAGCATTTCTGATGACGCTGCCCTGCCACTCCCCACCCCCCCTTTCTTTTCTTTTGTAAAAGTAGCAAGCCACGCTCTTACGTGTCCGTTGGCCAGTGGGATTTTTTCTGTAAGATCCACACCATCAGCATACGCTTGGAGTAATCCAAAAATATCTCTGGTTTTGACGGCCTCACAAAGGCTGTGGAGTTTGGCTGCATTATCCACATGCTTTTTCCTTGCGTATTTCCTCTCAATGTACTTGGCAGTAATGTAGTCCTTCCTGGCATTCCTGAAACCAAGCAAAACTGCCTTGTAAACGATTAAGGGCCTCTATTCAAACGTATCTAACCTTCAATTATCTGTAACCGTTAAAAAAAAAAGAAAATCCTGCCCATATCTTCCTTGCAGGAAGCACTGGCGGGTAGGGAGCAATCTGCTGCGTGACTCTGGCAGTGCCTGCGTCCGGGGACACCCAGGGCAGTGAAATCCTCCAGTTTCCAACACAAGAGGCCTCAAGGCCCAGCGCAGGGTGACTGGGCCTCACTCAGGTGCCAACGGTAACTGGCCAGGTTAGGCAGGCTGGGAGGCCCTCCCTGAGAGCGAAGACAGTGTTGGGCCCCAGGGTGGCTCAGTCGGTTGAGCGTCTGACTTTGGCTCAGGTAATGATCTCGCGGTTTGTGAGTTTGAGCCCCGCATTGGGCTCATTGCTGTCATCACAGAGCCTGCTTCGGATCCTCTGTCCCCCCCCCCGCCCCTCCCTGGCTTGTGCTTGTGCTCTCGCGCGCTCTCTCTCTCTCTCTCAAAAATAAATAAACATTAAGGAAAGAAAAAGAGGGAAGACAGTTATCTTCTCGTTTGTGGGCACTGTGCCTGGCAGAAAACGCACCACACATCTGATGAACCAGAACAAACTGTCAGCCTTTGTGGTCTATTTTCTGGCCTTCACATGGCATTGTGTTCACAGACTCTACCTCCCCCACAGAGCATGGAACAGCACCAACTCCGGGGAGGCCAGTAGAAGTGTGGGTTCAGATCCCGCCCCCACCATACTGACGGTGTGTCCTGGGACAAGCATTTCATCTCTTTAGGCCTCAGGTCCTTTTTGTGCAAACGTGTAAAACACGCCCTCAAGGAACTGGGAAAAATACATGAACTGACACATTTGCTGGGCACATGGTGGGTCCTTAGAGCCCTGGCACTTGCTGATCGAACTTAAAAGATGGAGAGCAAGGGGTGCCTGGGTGACTCAGTCGGTTAAGCGTCTGATTTCGGCTCAAGTCATGATCTCTCGTGGTTTGTGGGTTCGAGCCCCACGCCAGGCTCTGTGCTGACAGCTCGGAGCCTGGAGCCTGCTTCCCATTCTGTGTCTCCCTCTCTCTGTACCCTCCCCCTGCTCATGCTCTGTCTCTCTCTCTCTCAAAATAATAAACATTAAAAAAAATGTTTTAAAAATGGAGAGCTAGAGAAACAGTAGCTCCTGGTCAGGAGGACTTTCAGCATTTTACTCCGAGGACCTTAACAAACAACAGCTGCAACAATAAAAAAAAAGTAGACAGGATTTTTGAGAGCTACAGTAAAAACGAAATTCCCTGTGGCAATCAAGTGAGAAGGGGCAGGAAGCAGCCCAGCTACCCATTAGCCGGTGAAGGGACGAACACACGTGGTCCGCCTACACAACGGAGTACTGTTCAGCCACATCGAGGAACACAGCTCTGACACAGGCTACATCATGGCTGAGCCCTGAAAACATCGTGCGAAGGAAAAGGAGCCAGACGGACACACAAGGCCACATGCTGTATGATCGCATTTACACGCAATGCCTGGAAGAGGCAAATTCATAGGGACAAAAAGCAGATTAGCAGGGCTGGGGGGGGGG